ATAAAATGACAAATTTTCTAAATTTGTGGGTACAGAAAGCTTAAAATTTCAGGAAGAATCGGTGGTTTGAAATTGTACTACTGATAGTATTTAACTCGAAAAAATCAAAGAAAAATTTCATGGGTAAGCTTAAGTTTTATGTAGTATGAAAGATGAGTGAGATTAGGGTTTTGAAAAATATAAAAAGTTAAGATGGAAGATGAAAAACAAAAAACTTATCTACAAGCCCTCAAATTATTTGTGAAAGTTTCGGTGGTAGTCGGCGATGGAAGCAGTGTCGTAGAGAAAGGCAAGAAGAGACAATAAACAAGTAGTCAAAGAAGTCTTTTAATTTTGGATAGGTTAAAAAGTTACCGTTAAAAATTTAATATAGAATTTGAGTCTGCTTCAATTTGGGTCCAGAATAAGTTTTGTCTTGATTTGGTATGAATTTGACTCCAAGGTTGGAGAAATTTTTTTGGCCATTTTGATTCAAATTTCAATTTGAGTCAAGATTAGAGATACTCTAAATTGGTCTACTCTACAATATCAATTTGGATTTACGGTACCGATGAAAAAAAATGTGTTTATAATTTTTGTAAATCATTTTACAACAAAAAAATTTATCACTTTTGAGGTGTTTTTACCACTATTGTAGGAATTATATTTAGCACTTTTTTCCTGTACAAAAAAAAAATTATCATTGTTGTGGATATTTTTATTATTGTTATAGTAACTATTTTTGTCACTTTTTTCGGTATCACAACAGTAATAAAAACACTCACAACAGTAATAAAAATATTTATAAATGTGATAAATAAAAATATAATACCAAATTTATTTCACTTAACCAATTGTACTACTAACTTTGCTAAGAAACTTAAAAAGTTCTTGAGAAACTACTGAGGAAATTATCTCAAAGCAAGATTGGAAGACATATTCCTCCCATTCATTTTTTATGACCCTGTTCATTTTTTCTTTCATTCCTCGGGCGGAGCATATTGGTTTAGCTTGCGACCATTTGTAAATATCTGACCAAACAAGATAGAACAACTTGTATGAGAAGAATTTTCACTTAGAAAAATGATAAATTGCGTAAAGTTTTGCCTTTTGAATCTCTTTCTACTCAACCGTCGCATGGATGTTAAACCACATCAAGTAATTAGGCTTTGTTAGTTTTAGAGACGACTCGCAAACTTGACACAAAATTATATATTTGGGTTGAGAGTGGATCCAGGTGATAAATAAAGAGACTCATTAAACTCATCAAATAAAAAGGTCGGCACGAAATTTAACTAACAACGCGAACTAACTAAAGACAAGTTATACGTGATATATACCGAACACGAATTCGATTGTATACAAACATAAATGAGTATGAATATGAGTTAAACAATTTTTGACACAATACGTCATAAATACGACAAGAACTCGACACGACTCATTGACAGTCTTACCTGTCATACCCAAAATCGCATGTTTATCACCTAGTCCAAAACTTGTAATACTTCATAGGGTGAATTGCATTTTGAACCTTTAAAAAATTTAAGAATTCTCACTTTATACTTTCAAAGATAAAATTTCTCACATTGTACCTTTAAGGTACTAAAAATGTTACAATGTGATTCTTCTATTAACTTCCATTATTTTTTCCATCAAAAACCACTCCAGTGACACTTACGAAAAAAATAACAAAATTCTCCCAAGCTTATATGATACTATCCATAGGAATTATAAATATATATAGATTATTATGATTAAAAACACTTTTTAGCAAATAGATCTAAATATTCTTACTTGTCCTGCATTTCTCAAAATTTCTCAAGTAGCTCATCAAGGGTGGCTTGATACACTTTGAGGCTCACTGCGACACTAAATGAATTTTTTTTAATTAATTGAAAAAAAAAATCTTGCTTTTTGAGATGGTGATAATTATTCAAGATTTATACATGCATCTTTTCAATTGATCACATGGATAGTTATTCAAGATTTATACATGATATGTTTTCTCGAGGAACCAGGCCTTCCAAATCTCTGTCTACTCAACCGTCCCACGGATGCTAAACCAAACTTCGTGTTACAAATTGATACACCTGCAGCAGGCCTGGTTCCTCGAGAAAACATAAACCACATCAAGTAATTAGGCTTGTTAGTTTTAGAGACTGACTCGCGAACTTGACATAAATTACAAATTTGGGTTGAGAGTGGATCCAGGTGATAAATAAAGAGACTCATTAAACTCATCAAATAAAAAAGTTAGCACGAAATTTAACTAACAGCGCAAATTAACTAACGACAACTTATACGTGGCATATACCCAACACAAATTCGACTGTATACAAACATAAATGAGTTTGAATATGAGTTAAACAATTTTTGACACAATACAACAAGAACTTGACACGACTCATTGACAGTCCTACATGTAATACCCAAAATCGCATGTTTATCACCCAATCCATAACTTGTACCGTGAAAAATTTAAAAAATTTTACTTTGTACCTTTAAAGATAAAATTTTTCACATTATACTTTTAAGGTACCAAAAGTGTTACAATACAAGTTTCTTATTCTATTATTTTTTCGTAAAAAACCACTCCAGTGACACTTAAAAAAAAAAACAAAATTTAACAAAAAAGTCACATTACAACACTTTTGATACATTAAGGGTGTAATACAAAAAATTTTATCTTTGAGAATGTAAAATAGAAATTCTTAAATTTTTTAGAGTATAGTGTAATTCTCTCTATTTCATAATAGGACAACCAACAATAAACCGTTAAACACAATTGTTTCAGGCCTGGTAAAGTGATGGGGTTAAACTTAGACCAACCATGAACTAGGATGAGTGAGGTTCAATCCTATTTAGTGTCTCCCAAGCTTATATGATACTATCCATAGTAATTATAGATATATATAGATTATTATTATTAAGTACATTTTTTTTAGCAAACAGATCTAAATATTCTTACTTGTCCTGCAATTCTCAAAATTTCTCAAATAGCACATCAAGGGTGGCTTGATACACTTTGAGACTCACCACGACATTAAATGAATTTTTTTTTAATTAATTGAAAAAAAATCTTGCTTTTTTGAGATGGTAATAATTAGTCGAGTTTTATACATGTGTCTTTTCGGTTGATCACATGACTAATCCACCTAATCCTTCTAATTTTGTGAGATCTATTCTTGTTCTTTTACCAATCAAAAATTTGTTATTATGGTGTGTTTGTTACTAGTAAAAAAAATATATTTAATACTTTTTTTTTTAAATTTAAATAGTTTCTAAAATTTTCTCTTATTCAAAATTTTTTTGCTATACAAATATTTATTTTCTAATTGTCATATTTATAAATCAACCAAACTCTTCTATAATAAGAAAATAATAATTCTTGGAATTAAAAAAAAATTAAAATTATAAAACAATAAGACTTAATTTATTGTTGTGACCTAGATATGACACAATATTCTCCCCAACATCGCGCTTATTAGAAGAAAAAAATAGAGAGGTCCAATAGAATAATTTCCCTGATTCTCATCGCAATGGTCCTAAACCTGAACAGGTTTCTCTCAGGTTGTTATGCAGTAAGCACTTGCAAGAGTTTTCGGTTCTGCCGAACCAACTCTTCCACTTTCTTTTTTAGTTTCCTCACTGTTATTGTCAATAGGGTGTGACCTTGGTTGTACACCAAGTTGTCGAGCTCCTTGTGCCAAAGTTCTTGCTCAAAGTCTACTATCAGTCATCAAAGAGGAGTGCAACTAGCTACAACACTAGGATGCAGAGCATCAAAAGTAAATTTTGTTTTCATATTTCAAAATTTGTAATTTAACTCAATGTTTTGTTTGTTACAATTTTGTCATAGGTAGGCAACCACAAAGAGGGGAAAGAAATCTCGCCATTGAATCTGGTGCGGTTATAGTCTGCTAAGAAATCATGACATAACTCTGTCGTAGGTACTTTGGGAGATCTTTTGGTGGTTTTTGCATCAAGATTTATAGAATTTTTTTTTTTTTTGCAACTATATCTGCTTATGATAGTTTTGTGAGCATGATGGTTTTTTGTGAAACCCATTCATTCACCTTAGTAAGCCTTTTTTTCTTTAATTGGAAAAACATTCAAGAGTGTTTTATGGTTTTGTTGTCGATTCTACATTAGCACCCATGTATAGTGTCTGCCTGGTACTCCTGTTTTATTATCATTCTGCAAGCCCTTATAGGCCTATGTGATTATAGCATAGTTTGTTTGACTTAATATTTATCTTATTTCATATTTTATGCATTTTATTTCAATTTTTTAAATTTACAAGGTAGTATCATAGTTAAGATGTTCAATGTTGCAAATGGAGCCACGTAATTACTTCTTGGGTAATTAAGCATCTAATATATCTTAAATATTACATATTGGTTATATCATACTCGTGCTATCCGTCTACAAATAGATCTTCATATTTGGTTGTCTCCCTCATCTTTTGCTTGATTTGTAGTTCTCCAAATTTCGCAATTAACCCATTATGAGTGGCTTGATAGATTTCAAACCCTATAAGATCGACGACAAATGAAGTATTTTTATTTTTTAATTTTAAATTTAAAAAATTTCTTGTTTTTTAAGAGGGTGATTATTAATCAAAGTTTTGCCCTCAAATTTTAGGGCAAATTATACTTTGTAACCTTAAAAATTTAAAAAATTTTACTTTGTACTCTCAATGTATCAAAAATATTAAAATGTGACCCTCACGTTAGCTTCTATTATTTTTTTGTCAAAAAACACTCTATTAACACTGATGAAAAAAATAACGAAATCTAACAAAAAGATTACATTGCAACACTTTTGATACATTCAGGATATAATATAAAAAAATTTAATCTTTGAGGATATAAAATAAAAATTCTTAAATCTTTCAGAATGTAAAACACAATTCTGCCTACTTCATAATAGGACAACCAACTATAAACACAACTGCTGCGAGCCCGATAAAGTTATGGGGTTAAACTTTGACGAACTATAAACCAAGATGACTCAAGTTCAATCCTCTTTGGTGTCTCCCAAACATATATATGATATCTATGATTTGTTTGTTAGTACAAATATCCAGAGTTTTACTCATACAAATACAAGAATGAATCCAATGTAACCTGCCTTAAGGAGGTTCCTCCTTTATTTAAAAAAAAAAAATTATGGCAATTCACTTTATTATTCCAACAGTTAGGGACACCCATTCACCTTTGGGTAGTTTGCGATTCACCCCTTCAAGTTTTAATTTCAACAATTGTCCCCTTCAGGTTTTAATCTCTACAGTTTAAATTAAAAATGATGCTGCTTGTCTTTTTGTCAAGCCAAATATGCTGGGAATGATGTACGGGGCAGAGAATCTCTTGATTACAGTAAATATGTTGCATTTCACTGGCTATCATCCAAAGTACCGACGAGGCACTTCTCCAGTAAGAACTCAGCATTCACCCAAGCGTGGTGTTTATCTGAATAAAGTGTTCAAGGATTTCAACACTCAAATCAACAATCTTTATAGAAACAAAATTTGAAAGGGTGCAATGTGGGTTCAATGGATTCGACAGGTCAACCTGGATTCATTCCCAAATTAAAAAACTCAGACTGAATCAAACGGAACTCTTCAACCTGAGTACTACCCATTCTTACATTTTTGAACTCGAGTTATACAAGTCAGGCCAAAATTTGGGTTTAATTCCCTGGTTGAAATTTGTATATGATTCCTAGGTTACACAAATCGAATTGAAATTTCTAGCGTCATTTGGGTTGAACTAGAATTCACCTGGGTTAGGGTTAGGTTGGTTCCCTTATAAGTCTCCCTATGCCATCATTCTTAAGAGCAGTTTTATCTCTAACTAGATTTCCTACAAAAATCCCAGGCCAAGTATTGGAAATCACTGTCAACTGAAGATTTTAGGTTAAGACTCGAGTTGACTTGCAAAAGTTGCGCCCCGAGAAACTTCCATCTGATCATGTGAAATGAGGCACACTTTATTCAGCCCTTTGGCAAAGAAATGCTCTCACATACAGATGACTGACCCAGAAGAAGTGATGCCTAACATGGGAAATAATTAGTACACAAATAAGTGTGAGATTTTGACAATCTAGTTTGTCGAAAGAATTGCTATGGACAGAGCCATTTTGGTTGCTTCTACAGTCTCATAAGCTTATTCTTCACGTACTTGAGTCATAACCCCCGTTTTTATGCTCTAAAGATGCGGTGTATTCAAATCATCATCCCTAGCAGTCCATGAAACTGTGTATGAGCCTGCAGCAGCCAAATTCAATAAAACTAGGTCCTCCTTTCTAGAGCTACTTTAAGGATGCAAATTATCCAGCTATGCAAATTATCCAGCTATACGATACACAAGATAAAATAATAAAGTTGTAGAATAACCTAACAATTAGACTGTTTTCCCAGACAGACATCCTAGATAGGAATCACATATAAGGTTCTATAGAGGTGTGCGTGAGCGTAGACAAATGGTCAAGCCTAAGCAATTATGAAATATTAACAGGGATTTATAGTAGGGTCAAAGAAAACAACAGTTACTTTCTACTATGAATTACTAAAACTACTGCACTAGTTAAAGCTATCAAAGGATACTGAATAAAGAGGTGCAATCTTTTCCGACGGCCTTCATTAAAATATCAACACCTGAAAAAAAATTACCAAAGAGCAGGCATATGTTTATATCAAGTGAGGTACGATGGAGTAGATGCATTGACAGAAACAAATTGTAAATGCCAAACTGTGTGTCTGTATACACAGTGTTGATGACATTGCATAACCAACTAAAAATCTTACTGGGAAACAAACTCAGCAATTATAGTTGAGTTTCAAAACAATCAAAGCTAAAAACCCTCACTGAGCTCATAAAAACATATTGCAACGTAAACACAGAGAGAGAGAGTGGAGTTACCCAGCATATAACCTGACAAAAAAACTTAAAAGACAAATAAATCCTAAAGAACAGATCAAAACCCAAGCACCATAACAACAAAATCAGAAAATGTTGATTGGAAAACTTTGATTGAAAATATTTTAGTGAAATCTGACCCACCTATTTCCCTTCAAAAAAATTTAAGAACCCTGAAGCCATTGCAGTGTAAGAACCAGAAACCTTCAACCGAAGATAGTACCCAGAACGTCAACAGACTTTAGATAGGCCAATTGTGGCATCTAAGTGCTACTCTTGTAAACATCCTATATAATTCCAGTCTATTTGAACAGAAGACACATCAACCCAAAATTGCAAGAGAGATAGAGAGAGAGAGAGGGAACAAGTTGAATCTAGAGTACAATGTATTTGATTCAAATGATCCATTTTCAACAAATTTAAGGGTTAATTACAAAATACACCCTTCAACTTTGGGTAGTTTGTGATTCACCCTTTCAAGTTTTAATTTCAACAATGGTCCCCTTTAAGTTTGAATATTTTGCAATTAACTCCAACAGTTAATTTTAAACCACAAAAAATAACTTAGGTTAGAATTGAGATATTCATGTGGTCTCTACTTTGTTGAAAAGACACACTTACCCCTAAAAAGAGTGTGTATGTGTGTGCGTGCACGTTGGTGTTGGGTGGAGGTAGAGGCGAACATGGTGTTGTGCAATATGTTGGTGCTAGACTGAACAGATGTATTTTTTCTTGGCTTTTTCATTTTCGTGTTTACTAGGGATAGAATTGATATTTAGAGAAAAAAAAATGAGAAATGATATACAAGATGGAGAGTGTAACGGTACTTTCATGTTCCAACCACTATTGTCGTCAATTTAGTCTGCTTGAAACTTGGAAACTTGAAGGGGACAAATTGCAACATTTAAAACAAGAGATTTGATTGCAACAAGAGGCATAATTGGAGGGGGCAAATTGTAATTAACCCAAAAATTTTAAATCTGACCCTCATTATCTTTAAACAACGGCAAAACTAAAACCTTCCCATTGTACAATCATTTCTTGGCTTAATCATCTCAAAAAGTCAATTCTGTCATGGTTGACCATACTACAATTTTTAAATCACAATATATGTCTGGCAAGACCTTTTAGTGGTAAAATCCCCAAAACCAATCCATCCCACTTTCCTTTCCCTTGTACTTTCCTCTTGAACCAAACGAGGAAAAAACATTTTTCCATGCCATTTTCCTCTCTCTATATTTCATCCACCCACTTTCCACCATACAAAAATTGCCAGTAAGATCAACTGGAAATATTTAAAAACTTTTATCTCTTTTAAGAATGGGAAACATGACACAGGTTGCTATAAACCAAGTAATCCAATGAAACCTGGTAAAGAACTCTGCCAAATAGCAACAGAACCATCCCAGTGGCCCATGCGAGTATGGGACACTTATAAGCGGATTTACTTAATAAGGCTTCACGCTAGCTTTGACTTATGGAAATTAATGCAATTGCAAATAGGTAACTGTGGCACCACTTGAGGAAGGTTATAAAAGGAAAGGAACCTCTTATGATAAGTTGAACACTCAATAGACCAATGAAGTGCACATAATGATGGTCTGAGTCAAATAGAAAGCACTGCATGCAAGCCAATGGGACCCTCCTACTCAGAAAGTATACTAATTATCAGCGATTAAATTGCCCTTGGTTGTCCTACCCATTTGTTATAATTTATTCCCACCATGTTTAGTTGCCCTTTTTCGATGGTAACCCAGGGCACTAGACCTCATTCACAGTGATGTGATATTCTTATTCCATTTATAGTGGCCCATTCTCACATAGGATCTTAGTGAAAGTGTCGCAAAGAAAACTCTTTTCTTTCCGTCTAGCACTGCCCTTTATCACCCACCCTCACCCCCTCACAGAAGATCCGAGCCCCCTATTTATCTGTAGGAAAATATGCCTGCTGGGAAACCATCATGCCCTACTCAAACTAGCTAGTCCAATTGCAATTGGCACAAAAATATCTAGTAGAAGATTCAAACATAGGGATTTTAAAAAAATAAGACTGCTGTAAACAGCACAAATAGACTAGATAAGAAATTTAATTCAGTTGATACACAATGGTTATAAACATTAGGTTTGGTATTGATATTTCTTTGACGTATATTAATACAAGGTATGTATGCATCTGTTTACGTTCATATACCATATATGGTATAGGATATATAGGAAAAATACGGTATTAACCAATTTTCAAAAGGCCTGCTGTTAAGCCATATAGGATAAGGGTGGCCCTATTCCCAAAGCATATACAATTGAGAAAAATTCTACCATCTACTCTCCCTAGTTGTACATTGCTTTTGCGAAAACCAAATCTGCCTTGCCAATTAGATTCAAATATTGAAATATCTTGGATCTCTAACCTAATAGAAGACGAGAAAATAAGAATAGGCCTAAATGAAATCTAACTGAACCTACCCAAACTCAAGACTAACATCTAGATCACGTGATGGTTCATAATGACCACCACATAAGTAATTTAAAGATTAAGTACACTTCCTCCTACACTAATAAGTGACTAAAGAAAATCCTCTGTTAAAAGACGATGTTAAGTACATATACGTACTAATGTTAGGAGAACCACATTCCATGCATTAAGTGTTCCATTATACAAAAATGGAAAAATAACCTTGAATCTTGGTGCATTCTGATATTAATCTTCAATCCATGCAACAAAATGTGACAAAGAAAATGAGGAAATAAGCATATAACCAAAATAAAATGAGATCTGGTGGCAAAATTAGGTGGTTCTTATAAGTATCAGCTCTTCCATCAAGGGTATTAAGAAAATATAATGCAACCAGGATAAGCAATATTATCATAGCTTTCAGATTAGCAATTGGGTAAAAGGATCATTACTAATGTTATTGTGATTGACAGCAATGGTAAGATGATAATAAAATGACACAATGGTGCAAATAACTAAATTCGCAATAATAATAAGGAGAATGCCATCTTTCAAAAAGACTAACTAAAGCAATTCAAAATCGAGTACACATCAACAACTTGATAAAGAGACAAAAGAACAACTAACAACCTTATAAACAACTCCAAACCCTACTAGAAAGAACTAGTTAATACACTTAGACTCTATGTAAAGTCGAAGAACATAACATGCTTTACTAATCATCTGGAGTTAAGCAAAAAAAATAAAGTTTTTACCTCCTGGATGAAATTTCATGTATGGGGCTAGATTGTAAACGTGGCCTTTAAGAACAGTCCACATGGAGCCTTCTACTTGATGTTGCTTAACTTCATTCATAGGTATTTGCCTCCTATTTGACTGTCCCTTTAACCCTGAGGTAAAAGATAACCACAGAACCAGAAACAAATCAGCTATTGGTGTCTCAATGCTAAAAAATAATTCACAATAACATACTTTGTGATGGACTTTGTTAAATAGTCATCTACTCTAAAAACTGAAGTTATTAGAGAGGGTAATTTAAATATTTATACTTCGATACTCCCTCGTGTAAACTATATTTTGGTCTAACACGTCGACATCCTTTAATAATCAAGGTGGCAGTGGCGGTGGCGGCGGTGGGATTCCAACACAAGATCTCCGGCTCTAATACCTTGTTTAACAACCATCTACTCTAAAAGATTAAGCTGTTAGAGAAGGTGTAACTTAAGTATTTATACTTAAACAAACTCTTATACTAAAATTTTAGGGATACAAAAATGAGTCAATTTTATCAGTTCAGGTTCACTTATGTGCACAGCTAGGTGCTGGCAATGCAAATAAAAGCATAAGCATTCCCATCTCGCTCAAGCCCTCACATCAATACCCGAATTGAGCCCATGCACACATAAAGGTTGCATGTTGATTCAAAATATTACATCAACGAATATCCACTAGATATGCGGCATATGCCTACCATACAACAAGATTTTATTTTTTGGAGCAATACTTAATACAATTAAGTATATGATCAATCTGACATCAAAAATATACCATAAATGCAATAGGACATGAGAGTGCCAAAAAAAGCATTAAACCATGCTCTTCCATTCAAGGTTCCACAAACACTCACAAAGTTTCAAATTAGAATCAGTGCCTTAAAAGGAGGAGATGTGCAATTGAATATGTAGGAAAAAAATTTAGACAGCAATGCTAGCAAGATTAAACAAATCTCTTCTCATTTGTATATGGACCCCCCCCCCCCCCCCCCCAAAAAAAAAAAAAAAAAAAAAAAAAAAAAACCACAAATCCCTTGGAACAAAAATAAAAATGTAGCCTCAATTGTATAGCACTAAAGCCACTTATAAGAGACTTAAAGGAAAAAATGTGGTCGCGACACAAGATCCTACTGTGAATTTAATATTCTTGGTTATGTGATCTTATATATGTAACAAATAACTAACAGAATTTCCAATTTAATTAGCACTTTAAACATAATGGTTGACCAGTGCACTAGGTATATCAATATAAAAGAACCACATTAGCTGGATTTAGTGCACTAAAATCCAGAGTAAACAGCACAAGGATTCCAATTGGAATGTTGCTGGCAAATAGGATAACCATTTCAGGGGATGTGGAATATGGTTTGATTTTGCTCTTTCATACAGAGAAAGCTTGAAAAAGTAAATTTGTTTCCTTTCACCACTATAAAAGATAACACTTAGTTAAGCCCTAGTATCCTCTGATAACAATGATGAAGACTAAAAAAAAAAAGCCACAGAAAATCAAAGTATCTTCAACAAGGGAAAAAAATTATTAAGGACTTATGATAAAAGTCCGACAATATTCAGACTTCGAATTGAGTAATGTAATAAGTACTGTAATATTTTAATAGTTTATGTTCTAGGGAGTGAAGAATTGAACATTTATCAAATTGGTGCTTACCTTGAAGTTAAAGTGAGCCTTGAGGAATGCTACATGGAAGTCAAAGCACCTTTGAAGATTCAAGCACTTGCATGGTTACTTACACATAGAAACTTAACAATAATGAGATGATCCAAAATCTTACATTTTGTCAACCTGCAATGCTGTATCATGTGTTAAAGCGCAGGAGAGTGTGGATGGATCACATGTTCTTACATTGCTCAGTTTTTTCAACATTACTGAAATCGATTGTTGTGAATGTGGAGATCATTTGGGTGATCGATGTTGTGAATTGGTGTTAATCATTGACTGTTGAGATTCTGACAAAAGCAAGGTAGCGGCATTGATTGGGTGGTTTGGTTGAAAAGAAACGAGTAGATCTTTGATGATAGAGAAGCTTCTTTGGATAATATGCTGGACAGGATCTTGTTCTGGGCATCCCTATGCGCATAAACTTCAAATGGATATGAAAGGACTCCACTTATTTTTGATTAAATATCGTTGAGCACAGGTGAATGGTTGATATGATTCTCTGCAACCTTCTTTTAGTTTTATTACTGTTTTGGTATCTTTTAAGAACGCTTTTTCCTCTCTTATATTTCTATTTTTTTCTAATCATAGCTATTGGTTTACGATCAAAGAACATATGGATGTAATTCATATACCATAAAAGCATAACACATTCAGACATTACGAGGTTATCAGGCTATTCTTTTTAATTTTACCACTTCTTTTGATGTGTGTGTGACCTTATCAGGAGTTTTAAAGGGACACCACCAACACTGCTTGAGACATATTTCAAGAAATAGGCAGACTAGTCTTTGAAGTCTAAATTGAATTTCATTATATAAAAAGGAGATTATTCAACTAAGAAAAAAGCAGAGCAGGTACCAATCGGAGAAATGGAACATAATGGGATGTTACCACCAGTAATACAAAAAAGACAAATTATGTGAACGCTCCATTTGGTTGCTGAGAAAGAGATATAAAATTCTCTATCCATGATATTTCAGTTCGGAACCCAAAAGACTAACAAAAACATCAACTATTCTAAGCCTCATACAAACTATGTGACTCAAATGAGGTGACGTTCAAGTTTTGGAACCTGCATAAAGAGAACAATGTAATCCAAATTGAATATTCTCATCTTCTTCAATGTTTCCTCGAGAATAACATGGATAATAAAACAAAAATCTGAGCCATTTGGCCAAGGAAATATTGTCATTAAGTGGGAAGTACCTGCCAGGTCAGGATGTGTACGGGTAAGCTTAAGCCAATCCATCTGGCTATACCCCTTCTCAAAAGGAACCTTGGTGCGTGGTGCAGGCTTCCTTGCAGGATTCTTCAGTTCCTGTAAAGCCTTAAGCGAATTTCCAACATCTTTTGATGCTTCTTGTTTGGAAAACTCCCTCGTTTGTTTGTTAGGTGATGCATCGATAACATTAAAAGACAAAGATCCAACTGTCGCATCCTTTTGCGAGCCAGCATTACTGGGTAACTTATTTTTCCATAGGATGCCACTATTCTGATTGTGATTAATACCAGCACCACCTGCACATTCATCTTTTATATCGATTCCACCAATATCTTGCACTATTTTCTGTGCCTCAACACCATCTTGGTTGACAGGCATACTAACCTAATAAAACCAAATATTATTTAATTTCACATAAATAAGGGGAAGGAATTAGGAGCAGCTGCAACCCAACAAAGAGCTTATGACAACAAACAAAAATTTATAAAATACAACACCATGCTAGCAGGAGAAGAATGAAGACTAGAAATACAAACGGTATTTAAGAACTTGCCTGACAAAAGGTGAACTCATCATCACTATCCATTGCTCCGTAAATGCGACTTTGAAAGCAAGTTTAGTCTCCTATCCTGACAAAGATATAATTGTTGTTTGAGTAATAAAATCAGATTGATGGAATATTGCTTTTAGAATACAGATTTTTCCATCAATAAACATCAGCATCAACGTGTTCTAATACACAAAGTCCAAGACATCTCACCGTCAAAAATTTCTGTACATAGTGATCCAGAGCTAAGTATTTCGTCGTTTAAAATAACAGTTATCCAACGAAATACCCATTCTTTTCCAACTACCAAAATTCCTCACCACTAACTTTTATAAATTCTAATTCTATAATCCTGCGTCGCATGTTGTTTCCTATTCCCAATTTCAAGAATCTTGCCATGTCAACCCATGTTACTAATTTTATCCAACTGTTTATCTTAAATCTTTGCAAGTAAACTTATATTACACAATCTTCTACTTTTTTTGTCGCAAAAATCTAATATCGCATGATGTTGCGCTTAGTATAACTCAAAAAACCCTACAAAAAATTGTTTTTTACTGCATAAATCCTTACAAAATTGAAAAAAAACAAATACGATGATATTGAAGAGAGATAAAGAAGCTTACCGTGTTGTTCTTGTCAGATTTTCCAGGTTAGAGACAAAGAAGAAAGAGAGAGCTTTTGATTGTCAATGGCAATGGTCAATATAAGGCAAGAAGAGAAAGAAGTTTCTTGCGTTGGGTTGGGTCCGGCTCCTCTGCTGTAAAATCTCGTGCTGTTAAAGCTCTTGGTTAAAATATCATCGTTTTGGTTTTAAATAACTATATTTTAGGGTTAATTGTAAGTTATACCCTAAAAGATAGTTGAAATCTCAATTTATACCTTTAAAGATCAAAATTTTTAATTTGTACCTTCAAAGATAGAAATTTATATCAATGTGCACCCCCAAAGATAAAAATCTCAACTTGCACCCTCAAAGATAGAAATTTGTATTAATGTGCACCTAAAACTAAATTGATAAATTATATCTAGATTTCCTCATGCTTGTCACTTAATCATTTGGACCCCTTCACATTTAGAATATTACTCTTACATCTCATAACTTTTGTGCACGTGTAACACATAACCCCCTTTTCATTGATATCTGTTAATATAACCATTAAAAAATATAATTTTATCCTAATAAAAAATTATAATGTCCAATGGTAAACTTGATTTGAACTTTAGAGTATATCAAACCCACAAAATGAAGGGTAATATGAAATTATAATTTTTTATTAGGATAAAATCATATTTTTTAACGGTTATATTAACAGATATCAATGAAAAAGGATTACATGTTACACGTGCACAAACGTCATGAGATGTAGGAGTAATATTCTAAATGTGAAAGAGTCCAAATGATTAAGTAACAAGCATGAGGAGATCTAGGTATAATTTATCAATTTAGTTTTAGGTGCACATTGATACAAATTTATATCTTTGAGGGTACAAATTAAAATTTTTGATCTTTAGAGGTATAAATTGAGATTCTCACTATTTTTTAGGGTGCAACTTATAATTAACCCTTTTATGAGCAATATTATTTAAACTTAAAATTTTAGTACCATAAATATACGGATCTTACCGTTCTATTAAACTTTCTTTTTAGGGATAATTATATCTAGGTCCCTTAAAATTTGTCACTTAATTATTTAGATGCTCTGACATTTAAAATATTACACACAGACTCTCTAAAGTTTGTACGCGCGTAACATTTAGACCCCTGTTGTAAATATATCTGTTAATAAATTATATTTAAACTCCCTAAAGTTTGTGGGTATATAATACTTAGGTACTTTAAGTTTAAAATATTATATTTAGACAAAAAATACTTCAATCAAATATAAAATATAAAATATTTTAAATTTTACAACTAAAATTTATGTTTTATTGTATCATTTATTGAAATAAAATTAAAAATAATTTATTTTTTTAAAAAAAATCGTAATTAGTATACAATTATACTATCTATTAGAATAAAATTAAAAAATCAAACAATGAGCCTAAGTTATTCATAATAGAACATGAATTTTACATCAAAAATTCATGTTTTATTATTTCATTTATTAAAATTAAATCAAAAATAAAAATTTATTTTTTAAAAAAAAAAACATAGTTAGTATATATTTATATTGTCTATTAGAACAAAACAAAAAAATTAAACAAGGAATCAAACTGTAATGGATACAATATCTTTTAAATTTAATTGGGATAATTTGGTACTTTAATTTGGTCGTTTAAACTATTAAATTAAAATATAATAGACAATATAATTGTATACTAATTACAATTTTTTAAGAAAAAATAGAATTTTTATTTTTGATTTTATTTCAATAAATGATACAATAGAAGATTAATTTTGGTTATAAAATTTAAAATATTTGATATTTAATATTTGATTGGAGTATTTTTTATCTAAATATAATATTTTAAACTTAAAGAGTCTAAGAATTATATATCCACAAACTTTATGGGAGTCTAAGTATAATTTATTAACGGTTATATTTATAATAGGAGTCTAAGTGTTATGTGCTTATAAACATTAGAGATTTATATGTAATTTTTCAAATGTCAGGAGTCTGAGTAATTAAATGACAAATCTCAAGGGATTTGAATGTAATTCCCCCATCTTTTTAAGTTAAAGGTTATGTCTATCATATAATAGAAAAGATGCATTCTTCCATTTAGTCCACTTTGTTTTAATTTTATGAGTAATATCACTACCGATCTCCCACTCTATATAAACCAAAAACCCTAAATATTTAAATTATTCACTTTTCAGTTTATTTTTATTTTTAATTATTACTATGTTTCAGTTTGGATTCTTCTTTTTACTAAAATTATATTCATATATTTAGATTTACTCTTATTTATCTTCAATATATTTTTTCTAGAGCTTCTCATAATATTTTTAGCTTATTAAAAATTTATTTTTTAATTTTATCAACTAATACAATATCATCTATATATATACCATGCAATCTTATTTTGAACGTGTTCAGCTAATTCATCAATAATAAATGCAAACATATATTGATTCAAACAAAACCCTAATGTAAGCCATTCATTAATCTCTTGTTATCATTTTCACTAAGGTCACCATATATATCTTTAATTACATCAATGTACCTAACAATTTTTTTTTCTTTTCTACAACCCTCAATAATATATCTTTAAGGATTCTATCATATATATACTACATTACCCTTATAAAAAATTATAGAAGCTAACATGTCTTTTTACATTTAAATATTTAAATTACTATTATATCCGTTTATACTTATAACAAACTAACCTATAACATATCATATATCTCTATATTTGCAAAACTTTAAGATAGTCATGTTACTTTTAACAAGATATATATTAATACATATCAACAATTTTATTGATATAATATCATCTTCGGTGTCAAAAAAGCAACACATATATCTTTTTCTCTTTATTCGCAATACAAACAATTTAAGTATGATAAACATGAGAAAATATCAAATGTTTTAACAAAAATTTTCATATGCAGCGCACATAATGCATTGTTAGTCTTCTCTAAGTGCTTAACAACCACATTAATGTTCTTATACCTCTTTATTAGTCTCTAAAATAAGTATATATCTTTTATTGTTATATCTCCAAGGCATAAATTTAAATTGATTCTTATATATCGTTATTTCAAAACTTAGTATATATGAGATAATCTCTACCAAAGTGTCATAGTATGACTTATAAGTTTAACACCTCAATTGTTTGTGTAACTAATTTTTTTAAAGTAGTTCAACTTCAATTGAATTTCTTATCCAATATTTTTAAAAATAAATTATTTTATGTTTTGGAACCTTTATAAAATCTTTTCCTTTTTGGTTCTATAGTGGCCTTTCTTTTTCAATCAAAAACAAATAAGTCAATTGTGGACCACCACCCTATTTCTTTTTTTCTTCTACAATATGCTTTGTTTTTAAAAAAATTATGCACTCAACTTGAACTTTTGCAATCTAGAAATTTATTAACTTAGATCAAGTTCAATTTTTTTTTAAAAAAAATTCACTATAATTTTATTAACTTAGAGCATGTTTGATAAAATTGTATCAACCATGAAACTACACATATTAGCGTGGATGAGGTGCCTATAAATCGTATCCCACATTTTTTATGTTAGAGTTGTGCAAAAAATAATATTCAATTGGACCGAGTCATAATATGTAACTTTCACTAACAAGTTTACATGGTTTTATTGAAGAGAGAACAAAATTCAAAACCCCTTAATAATAAATAGTAGAATTTAATCAATATTAATTATAACTAATGTAGATGTTTTCTTTTTCCTCTTGAAAATTAATATCCAATATTTTCAGTACATAAGTTTGTCTATGATTAGGGGGTTGTGCACATACAATATCCATGTGCAGATAAGAAGAATGGGTACAATATAGAAGTAAGAATGAATTAGAATTGATAAATTTAGATAATATAATGTGATTAGATGTGAAGTTATAAGTGGTTAAATAAAAGAATATGTGATATTAGTAATAGATTTATGAATTTGATTTTGATAACAAAATTTATAATTCTTGTGGGTCACCGGCCATATAAGTTTTTTGGGTCTACCTATAAGTAAAAAATTTAGGATCCATAATAAAAGGATCAATTTTATTTTGCACCCTGAAAAATATTAAGATTCTCAATTTTTATCCTCAAATATTAAATTATTTATATTGTATTCTTAATGTATAAAAAATGTTGCAATTTGACCCTTCTTTTAACGTTCAGTCAATATAAATGGGTTAGATTTTGAAAGAAAAAATAACGGAAGTAAATGGAAGGGCTACATTGTAATACTTTTTGATATATTGATCTAAAAAATTACAACTTTATATATCAAGTAACAATTTTTTTAGAATCAAAGCGTCAAGTCTGGGGCGGCCCAACCTAATTTGGGGCCCTAAGCGAAAAATGTTGTATGAGGTATTATAAATATTTATTTAGTAATAATAGTAATATTAAAAACTTATTTAAATATGTTTATTTACAAATTATTTGTTTTGCCTTTTGAGATATAATATACTAATTCAAATTTTGAATTTACATTTTAAAAATAAAAATTGTGTTAATTGTAGTCAAATATGGAGATCAAATACAATGATACAAACTATTTGTTTAAAATAAAAGAGAATTGAAAATTATTTTGATTAGTAAAATATTTTTTTTCTAAATATATATAAAAATAGGAATTTATGCAAGTTAAGTACTTCTAAAATAAATGAGATATCTATAATATAAAACATGACATTAATAAGCTCATTTGACGATCTGAAATAGACTTATCTAACGGTCACCAACATCATTCTCAAAATTTTTCAAATTGAATTTTGCCCCTAAATTCATCACTCTTCACTTACGTTCCATTGTGCCTTCAAATACAAGTTATCTCTAGTTGTTAGATATCATAGAGAAAATGAGCTATTTTTAAATAAAAAAGATAGTTAGTGCACTACTTTTACTCACTTTATTTCATAGTCATGTGCATTGTAAGCAAAGTTATTAAAAAATGGCCTCAAATTTAATTTATAAATTATTATTCGTATCGATTATATGATAGATAATTGATTTTAACAATAAGACTGCAAAGTGATAATATATATAATATAAATATCAGGTGAGATAAAAAAATAAGTTGAACTTTAAGGCCTTAATTTTT